GGGTCTGATGCCCCCCAGGACAGGGTGGCCCTTTGGGCTGCCAGGACACTCTGCTGACTCTGATCCAACTGGCCACTGACCAGGACCCCCAGGGCCCTTCCCTCCAGCCTCTCATTCCCCAGTCTGTCCCTGCATCCAGGGACAGGGATCCAGGACCTGCCCTCGTTAAACACCCCAGGGCTGGGGACTGCCCAGCCCTCACACTTGTCAGGGTCTCTCTGCCTTAAATGCACTGAACAGCTCCTCCCAATTTAGTATCATCAGCAAACTGACTCAGTATCCCTTGCAGTCCTGCTACTGTGTGTGCAGCTCCTTAGGCCCCTCCTGTATTTTGCCCACATCAAATAAGTTTTAAAAGTTCTTGTTACCTCTCACTGCTTTTTTTCTCCAAAACCAGGGAAAGGTGGCAGGAGAAATAAAGGAAGCCAAGCCAAAAGAAAAGCTCTCACAGGGAGGTGGGAGAGCTGATCTCATTCCAACTTTGCCATAAACCCACCTAGTGACCTGGGGCACGTCCCCAAGACCAGATTCACAGGACACCAGACCCCCTCAATCCCTGCAGGTGCCAAACTTAGACCCACATCCCAAGCTTTCCATCCAGCAAAATCCCACAGCTTCTGAGGCTTTGTTTTAGGGTATTTTCTGTACTGCTTTTGTATTCTCCTTTTGATTTGATGACTCTTCTCCCAGACTACCAGTGGCGGGACAAGAGGAAATGGCCTCAAGCTGCAACAGGGGAGGTTCAGGTTGGATGCCAGGAGGAATTTCTCCATGGAAGGGTGGTCAGGCATTGGAAGGGGCTGCCCAGGGAGGTGGTGGAGTCCCCATCCCTGGAAGTGTCCAAGGAATGGCTGGATGTGGCACTCTGCTCATGGTCTCTCCAGTTGAATTTAAAGGGAAAGTGGTGTCTCTGCACTGGCCTTAAGGCAAAAGGCTGGGTTTGAGTCTCACTCAGACACCCAGCTTTAATCAGGAACTTCCCAGAGGCAGCAGAGGCCACTCCAAAACGCTGGCTCAGCTTTACCATCCCAGACTCTGCAGAGCTGACACAGTTTGTAGTTGGTGGTGCTTCCTCTCCCTGCCAGGGTGGGACACAGTCCCTGCAGTGACACAGCCAGCCCAAAAAGTAACTCCAGAAGCCACCCAGCACGGCCAGGGAGAACAGGGAAACTGTTTATGGCAGCACTGCCCCGAGAAAAGGCACAGGGGACAATGAAGTTACAGGGTTATCCCACTCCCACGTCAGCTCCGAGTCCTGGGAGCCTCCGGGGGACTCCTGGCTGTACAGGGGGTCCTGCTGCCCCTCTCCCCCACCCCTGGAGTTGGGGAGACAGCAGGATTGGAAGCAATTCCCCTCAGGTGCCCCCCAGCCTGTTTACACAGCTGTACCTGCTGCCTCAGCACTGGGGCAGGAGCCTTAATTTGGGTATTCAAAACCCAGAGCAGACAAATGTTAATTTTGGTATGAACACGTCCAGGAGTGAAGCTCAGCTGCTCAGGGGCAGAACCTCAGAAGGCTCAAGGGGAAGACAAAACCCACAGAAACACTGAAGTATCTGTGCTCAGGGCACAGGCCTGTTCCACTCCCTGTCACCCTCTCAGACTGGCCTCACACAGACAGCAGCAACAACGCTAATTAGCCTAGAATAACACAGAAAAGCTAAATTAATCCATCCATTAATTGCCTAATTTCTAACTCACTGCTCTCCTCATCACAGGTTCCACACGAGAGTTCCTTGAGCTCACAAAACCCTGAGAGCAGAGAGGGGGAATTAAAATCACGACATGCCTGTGCTGCCTCTATCCAGGGCAGCACCTGAAGGAGCCAGTACCCAAACCACACACATCAGGGAGCTTCACCCTGACAGTCCCTGGAGAACCACGACCCTCCCCAGCAGCAGCTGGACTGTGTCACCCTGTCCCCTGACCCTCCCGTGTCCCCCCGAGCCCGGTGGCAGCTCCCAGGGCTAAGGCAGGAGGGAGCCGTGGGAGGCACATTCCCGATGCCCCAGCTCGCAGCCTCCGGGGGTGGGGGTCTCACCCTGCAGGGCACAGGACCCCTCTCCACCCTCCGCCTCCTGTCCCCACCCCCTCCCGCTGCCCCCGATAGCGGCTCCCACCGGGGCCGCCCCCGATCCCGGGCTGGCCCCGATTCCTCCCGACACACGCCCCGTCCGTCCCCCCAGACCTGTCCCCGATCCCTCCCCGAGCTCAGCCCCCCCGACACCCCCTCCCTGCCGCCCCCACCGCTGCTGCCCCCGTGACACCCCCGGCCCGAGGCACTGTCACCCACCTCCCGGCCCCGTTATACCCCTGGCACCCCCCGCGCCCCCTCCCCGGCCCCCAGCTCCCCCCACAACTCCTCCGAGCCCACCTGCTCCCCCCCCTCAGACCCCCAGCTCCCTCTCCCGAGCCCCAACTCCTCCTCCACGACCCCCAGCTCCTGCTCTCCTTCCCCCGGCCACCCTCGACCCTCAGCTCTCCCCCAGACCCGCCCAGCTCCCTCCACCCCGACCCTTCAAGCTGCCCTCCCGACCCCCAGATCCCCCTTCCCCGGCACCCCCCGACCCCCAGGCTCCCCCTCCCGACTCCCAGCTCTCCCTCCCCCGGCCCCCTTGGACCCCCCAACTCCTCCTCCACGACCCGCAGCTCCCCCTCCCTAACGCCAGGCTCGCCCCGACGACCCCCGCCGCGCCACCTCCGACCCCCCATCCCTCCTCCCATACCCGCTCCCACTCCCGACCCCCAAATCCTCCTCCATGACCCCCGGCTCGCCCTCCCCGGACCGCCCCCGACCCTCAGCTCCCCCCTGACCTCTCCAGCTCTGCCCCCGCCCCAACCCTCGGCTCCCTCCCCACGACCCTCAGCTCTCCCCTCCGACCCCCGCCATCCCTCCTCCGAGGCCACCTGCTGACCCCCCCTCCCCAGCTCCCCGTCCACGACCCCCGGCTCCCCCTCAGCCCCCGCTCCCCGGCCCGGCGCCCCCGGTCCCACCTCACCGATCGCCCGCTCCCGCTCCCCCCGGGGCCGCCGCGGGGCGCTCTGGGAAACGGAGTCCCGCCAATGGCCGCGCCCGCTGCGCTCCCCGCGCCTTGGACTACAACTCCCAGAGTGCATCGCGGCACCACCCCGCCCGCTGTCATGTGAGGGGCAGGGCGGGCGGGAGGGGCGGGGGAGTCCTACGGCGGCCGCGAGGGACAGAACTGTGCGAGGTTCCGCGACCGACCCCGCCGGGGGGCTCTGCCGGGGGGCTCTGCCGGGGGGAACGTGGAGATGATCCAAGGGATCCATCCGAAGGAGCCCCTTTGCCATGGAGAGAGACCGGGAGAGCTGAGGGTGCTCACATGGAGGAGAGAAGGCTCCAGGGAGAGCTGAGAGCCCCTTCCAGGGCCTAAAGAGGGTCAAGGAGAGCTGGAGAGGGACTTGGGACAAGGGATGGAGGGACAGGACAAGGGGGAATGGCTTCCCAGTGCCAGAGGGCAGGGATAGATGGGATATTGGGCAGGAATTGTTGGCTGTGAGGGTGGGGAGGCCCTGGCACAGGTTTCCCAGAGCAGCTGTGGCTGCCCCATCCCTGGGAGTGTCCAAGGCCAGGTTGGAGGGGGCTTGGAGCAACCTGGGCTAGTGGAAGGTGTCCCTCCCCATGGCAGGGGGTGTGATGAGATGCTCTTTAAGGTGTTTTTCAACCCAAACCATTCCATGATTCTGGTCCAGCTGGGTCCTGAGCCCACAGAAAAAAATTAAAGTTTTTTTCCACTACGTCCAGTCTCACCCTTTGCTAAAACTTAAAAACACGACTTCCAACGTTACTAAATGTTTTTTTTTTTACCTTGCAAAACAGACTTTATTTTTCTTCCTTGAAATTTTGTGCGGTGCACACCTCTGTGTGTCTACAGAACACACCTCGACAAAAAGGTTTTCATCCATACATTATATTACTTTTTATTTAATGTAATGAAAAATTCAGAGAACAGTTTTGTCCTTAAATAAACATGTCTCCCTCCCCTGCCCTCCCTTCCTAAGCTGATTGATCTGAAAGAGGAAATTTTATTTAGTTTGTTTTTTTTTTCTGATCCCTTCCAGCCTGAACACTTTTCTTTGGTTTTAGAGCTCCTTAATTCCTTATTTCCATTAGACTCCTTAGAGACTCCTTAGGTAGGGATCCCTCTCCAAGGTCCCAGCTCTCTGAAAATCCTTTAAATCTGGCCATTTATAACCCCAACTGTACTTTAAAAAACCTTTCCAAGCCCTGGGGCTGTAGTTTCTGTCCCAGCACTCCCAGGCTGTGTCAGGCTCACCCCTCTTGGCTGAGCAAATACTGAGGCCTCTCCCTGTAAACTTTCCCTAAAACTTCCCCAAACTCTGCCAAGTTTCCCTAAAATCCACCTCTTGGGGGTCACTGGTTGTGTTTGGCCCCTGCTCTGGGTGGGCTGCCCAGTTTTCCTGGGGATTGTCCCCAAAAAGGGGCACGGGCAGTGCCACTGGCTCCAGCACTTCCCAGCTGGGCAGGTGTTTTTTGGGAAGGAAGGATCAGGCCTCCTGCCTCCATCCATCCGGATCCCAGGCACGCAGGGAATATTTTGGGTATAAACCAGTAGAGGTCACTCGGCCCCAGTAAATCCAGCGCTGCTGGACCAGTAAGAGAGGGAGCACGAACTGGGGGGAACCGCGGTGGGGACACCGACCCCCGGGTCACCCTCATATCCCAAACTCCTGTCCCGCGGGACAACCACGGGATCCCATCCTGCCGCCTCTGGCTGGAGGTGTTCGGGCTCCCAGAGCCCACCGGGACCCCCAGACACCTCCTGGATAATTCCCAGCTTCTCCCCTGGAGCTGAAAGGCCATTTTTCCTGAACACGTTTTGTTTAGAGAGCAGCTCTTCACAAGGAATTTTGTTAACAGATTTCCCATACTTTATATTTTTTCCAAAATACACCAAAGAAACTTGATTTTTCGGGGGGGGGGGGGGGGACGGGAAAAGACCTTTTTTAAATGAAAATCGAGTAAGAGTGTCACCGTGCAGCAATTTGATGGGACTGTGGGTGTGACACCGTGAGCTCCAGGTGATCCCTGGGTGCTCCCACATGGACACCCCAGCTCTGCTCCCTCCACCTCCAAAGGGGGTGATGACACCTCCCCACATCTCCACAAGCTGTGCTCTGTTTCTGGCTGTTCCCAGTTCTCTGTAGCAGCCAGGATTTATCCTGCAATATGTGAATTCCACGGGTGGGAACAGGAAAGAGGAGCTGTGCTGTCCCCTGGGAATGGCAGCTGGTGAGGCAAAACCCTGGGATTGACTGACCCTGCTGCCCCAAGGATTCCTGATCATCATTCCCCTCTGCTCCACAGCTCCAGGACAGTCCAGCTGTGCTGCTGAGGGACACAACTCTGGATTTGCACAGGATGGGCTCCGGATGGGCACCCAGGGGAGAACTGGAGGGGAAGGAGAGGGAAGGGAGGATGGGGTTTGCACCTTTCACACCCAGTGATGCCTTTGACCCGTCTGCATCCTGACCAGAGAATCACAGAATCCTGAATCTCCTGAGCTGGAAGGGACCCACAAGGTCCATCCAGTCCAACCCCTGGCCCTGCACAGACACCCCAACAATCCCACCCTGGCCCTCAGAGCGTTGTCCAAACCCTCCTGGAGCTCTGGCAGCCTTGGGGCCGTGCCCACTGCCCTGGGGAGCCTGGGCAGTGCCCCAGCACCCTGTGGGGGAAGAACCTTTCCCTGAGATCCATCCCAACCCCCTGGCACAGCTCCAGCCCTTCCCTGGGTCCTGTCCCTGGTCCCAGAGCAGGGATTAGCACTTTGCATCTGAGTCCTGGCATCCTTGTTGTATCCAGAGCATGCTATCCATGTGTCCCTTGTATATCCAGGGCATTCTTTCCTTCCCGGGACTGGGAACTGTTCAAAAATGAATTCCTGCCATGCCTGGGCTGTCCCTCATTCCCCCACACATCCCCCCATCCCCCAGACCTGTCCCCAGCCTCCTGCCCCAAAATGTGTCCCCTGTGCTGCCAGGGACAGTCCCTGTCCTCGGTCTGGAGGGGTTGCCCAGATGAAGCCCCTTCCCAGATCTTGGCTCTCCCTCAGAGTGCCCAAGCTGGAGGATGCAGGGAGGGGGCACCGGGAAGTGCTTCCAAGGGCTCTTGGAACACAACACAGGGGTTCTGGGCACAAATCCAGCCTCTTCCCAGCTCACCTCAGTGTGTGCCTGGCGTCAAGGGAACCCATAACACCTTCCAACACCTGAAATCTCCCGTTGTGTCCAAACCCTGCGCAGGATGGATGGGACATTGGGAAGGAATTCTCCCCTGTGAGGGTGGGGAGGCCCTGGCACAGGTTGCCCAGAGCAGCTGTGGCTGCCCCATCCCTGGGAGTGTCCAAGGCCAGGTTGGATCAAAGGAGCAACCTGGGCTAGTGGAAGGTGTCCCTGCCCATGACAGGGGGTGGGACTGGATGAGTTTTAATGTCCCTCCCAACCCAAACCATTCCATGATTCTGATCCAGCTGGTCCTGAGCTCATGGGAAAATTAAAGGTTTTTTCCATGATTTTAAGAGATTCCCTTCCAGTCTTGCCCTTTGCTAAAGTTTAAAATCACTGTTTCCAACATTATTAATTCTTTTTTTTTTTGACCTTGCAAAACAGGCTTTATTTTTCTTCCTGCAAATTCTGTGCAATATACATCTATGTACCTATAGAACACACCTCAATAGAAAGCTTTTCATCCATACATTATATTACTTTTTATTTAATGTCATGAAAAATTCAGACAACAAGTTTTGTCCTTAAATAAACGTTTCTCCCTCCCCTGCCCTCCCTTCCTAAGCTGACTGGTCCGAAAGAGGAAATTTTATTTAGTTATTTTCTTTTCTTTAAAAAAATAGAAATTACAATCTTACAAGACAGAACATTCAATGAGAACAGAAGCATTTTCCTAAATCTAAAAAGTAAAACATTTCCATAAAACCTGTTGGTATCTACAGGTAGGTGTGTGTGGAGGGTGGTAAATGGAAAGAAAAGGTTTTCCATTTCTTTCTTTCATTCATAAGAGATAAAAAATAACATAAAACCGACTGAAACTTTATATATTTTTCTCTTTTGCACCAACATTCACAAGAATATATATTATATATATTTTTGATCCATTATTTTATACACAGTGTGAGGGTTCTGCAGGTGGAAATGGACACTCAGCTAAACTGCCAGAGCAAACAAACAAACACGAAATTAATCTTGGTCTGGACAAGAGCCATCACTGTGAGAGGCTCCCCAGGGCTGTTGGATGGGAAAGCGGCCAAACATCCCATGGCTGGAGGGTTGGAAACATCTCCAAGACACCAAGGACGGAGCATCAGAGCAATTTGGGGGTCTTGGGGCTCCTGGGCATCATCCCCAGTGGGCACACGCAGCCCTGGCACAGGGAGAGGGGAAATCTCCCTTTTTCAGGCATTTCTACCCAGGTTTTTGTCCTTTGCCCTTTCCCTCGATGCTCCTGGAGGCCCAGCGGGGCACGAGGGACCTCGGCACAGCCTTGGCCGCAGCCCTTGCCATCCCTTCCCGGGCATCTCGCCCATCCCAAGCCAGAAGAAATCACTGAATCGACGTGGAATCACTTTATCCCCTCCCGAGAAATCAGCGAGTCGAGTCGGTTCCGTCAAAGAGAACGTAGAAAGTGCAGGTTCCCCGCGGTTTGGCAGGTCGAGTTACACGTGTCTTTAATACTTCCAGTCTTCCCTAGGTTCCCACGGGGGGGCTTTTTTTATTGCTCAGGATCCAAAACCTCTCCCACGAGGCGGACGCTGTGTCACGAGCCAGGACGAAGCCGCTGGGCGGCGGGGGCTGTTCCCGAGTTTAAGGTGCTTCCTTGGAACCGGCGGTGCTGACGAACACCGGGGGTGAAAACAAGGGGCTGTGCTTTTCTTTTTTTTTTTTTTTCTTCTCCTTTTCCCCCAAATACTTCAGAAGACCCGTGTCCCTCCGGGAAAGGCGGCGCCGCTGTCCCGCCGCGCCGAGGGCGAGCCGCAAAGCTGACGAACACCGGGGGGTGAAACAAGGGGCGTGCTTTTTTTTTTTTTTTTTTTTTTCTTCTCCTTTTCCCCCAAATACTTCAGAAGACCCGTGTCCCTCCGGGAAAGGCGGCGCCGCTGTCCCGCCGCGCCGAGGGCGAGCCGCAAAGCACAGTCGTTCCCACAGGGCGCTTCTCCCGGTGCTGATGCTCCCAAAAAAAAGGCACAACCCTCTGGATGTAAAAGGCAGCGCTGACTTCTCACTTCTGTCCAAGCTTGAGGAGCTGAGAGGGCGGGAAGCCAGCGGGGCACGTCCCCAGCCCGGCGGACGAGGACGACGCGTTGGCACTCACGTGGGGCCGTGGGAGGGTTGGCAGCCTTTCCCAGATTCCTGGGCTCCAACAGTGCTGGAGAGGGCTCTGATCTCCTCCAAGGAGCAGTTCAGATGTGGTTCTCAAACCCTGCACAGCCCCCACATCTCCCTCTGCCTTAGGCCGAGGCAGAAATCCCACCGGCGACTCTTCCCTGCTCGAGGTTGGTCCGTGCTCTTCCCTGGGACATCTTTCACCCAAGAGCACGAACGTCCCTGACAACGCCAAGAGAGCTGCTCCTTGAGTTCAAGGGGTGCAATTGTGGAGCTGAAGGTCTCTGGTTCCCACTCAGAGATGGTCCAAACTGCTGCAGGAGGGGGTTGGGAGCACGAGGGATCAGCATGAAGCAGGAAGGGGCTCGGGGTTTTAGCCCTTTGTCAGCAGAAACTGGGGCTGCCTCGGAGCAGGGTTTTCCCTTGTTTTTGGCATTTGCTGCAGGAGGAGCAGGAACAGGGACGGAAAAAACCATCTGCAGAGCCACAGAGTCTCTCAAGTGTTCCCACTGCTGAGGACTATCACAGCATCACCCCACAAATCCTTCCCTTTGTCACCTTTGAGCCTCCCGAGCTTGGAGCAGCAGGTCCCGACCACACCACATTCCTTCCCATCACCCTAATTCCTTGAAGGGAAGGAATAAGGACCTTCCGCTTCCCCTTGACCCCAATGGGCAGTTTCTCCCCCTGAAAAGCTCCTAAATCCTGCTAAATGGAGAACAAGCCCCAAAATAACAGTTCTAAGGAGCTCCTTGGGGGGAAGAGCCTGGGTCCAACTCAACTTGCAAGAGCAGCCACGTCCGTGCTCCCGGTGGTGCCAGTGTGGGAAGGAGGGACCTGGCAGAGGGATGGGGGTGGGTGGAGGAAGGGCCTCAAACCCTCCCCTGGGTGCTGAGCCACGGGGAAATTTTAATGGGCTCGATGAGACAACACCAGCACCCAGAGAGCCACCACTGTGGGGACAGGGACAGCCCCGGCACCGCCGGGGTGGAGCAGCTGGAGCCGGGCTCTGGCTGCAGTCACACGGGCTGGGAAAAGCACTGGGGGGGTGGAAAGGTGGCATGAGGCAGGTGGATCTGCCAAATCAGCTCCAAAAAGCCCAGCTGGGTGGGCAGTTGGCCGGGCATTTGGGGAAATGCTGTGATGGAGGACACGGAGGCCCTGCAGAGCTTTTTCCCTGTGGTGTTGGGCGTCCCTTCCCTCACACCAGCCTCCTCCACGGGAACATCTTGTGCTGAATCCCCCCCCAGCCACAGCCAGGTCTTTCTCAGCCAAGCTCCCGTGGGCTCACTGCACCCCTGGGAGAAGGAATAAACCAAAGGCTCTCCCTTTTCCCTCTCCTCAGCTCCAGCCCACCCCACCCAGCCGAGTCAGCATCGCCCCTTCTTTATCCCATGTCTTGTGTTTGGGTAAAAAAAAGCAAAAAACAAAAAAACCCAATAATTAAAAAAAAAAATCAGAGGTGGAGAGTGCAGCCAGGACAGCAGGACTGCCAGGAGCATCTCCCCTCCCCAGCAGAGATTTCACATTCATTTCACTGGTATGGCAAAGTCCATTTGCTTTTTCCTTCAAGGTGCTTTACATTCAAGAGCTATTGCAATCCACGGCGGGGCCACAGGGCTGGGGGCACCCGCAGCCCCCCCGGCTTCTCTTGAGTTTGATTGACTTGATTTAAATAAACTGCCCCAAACCTCTGAAGTGCAGTTCGTCTCCAAATTCTGGGGGGCTCGAAGGGCCTCGAGGTGGCTCCCGGCCTTAGCTCTCGCGAGGGTCGCTGTACTGCAGCTCCGAGTTGAAAACCTCCTTGTACAGGGGAGGGAAGTTCATGGCGGTCTCCGGGTGCAGGAGACGGAAAAATTCCAGCTTGTCCAAGTGCAGGTTGCAAATGGTCTTCATCAAGGGCAGCTTGGAAACCATCTGTGGGGAGAGGAGGAGCTGGTGACCCCGCTGGGTTCCCAGCCAGTGTCCCTGTGCTGTCGTTCCCCCTTCCCTGGGGACAAGCAGGAGGGTTTGGGGACCGCTGGGTTCCCACCTGTGTACCCTGCCCTGCTGTTCTCCCTCCCCTGGGGAGAATGGATGGGTTTGGGGATGACTGGGTTCCCAACCACTGTCCCTAATGCTGCTGTTCCCCTTTCCTTGGGGACAAGCAGGTGGGTTTGGGGACCACTGGATTCCCAATTAATGTCCCTGTGTCGTTGTTCCCCCTTCCTTGGGGAAAATGGGTGGGTTTGGGGACCACTGGGTTCCCAGTTTGTGTCCCTTGCCCTGCTGTTCCTGCTGTTCCTCCTCCCTTGGGGACAACGGGTGGGTTTGGGGACCAGTGGCTCTGCCTGGCACTGGGGCACCAGCAGACAGCCCCCCTTTGGGCAGCCTGGCAGCAACGTGGCCTCACCCCCAAACCCACATCTTTCCCCAGGAAAACCGGCACCTGGGAGGGCTCAAGGAGCCCCCAGGGCCCCCCTCCCTGCTCTGTGCTGCCCAAAGTATTCCTGAAATGGCTCCTTTTGCCCAAAAAACCCGCTGCCTGCTGCAGTGCCACGCTCAGCAGCCCGGGGCTGCCTCTGCCTGCACTGCCAGGAGATTCACAGCCCCTGGAAAGGGAAATTCTTCTCCTCCTTGGGCAGGTCTGAGCACCCCAGGAACGCCCGTGTGTGGCTCCTGAGCTCTGGTGGAGCCCCGTGCCCCAGCTCAGACACCCCCTGGCACAGCCCCCGCCTGTGCCCCCCCGTGCCACCCCCCACCTTCGAGAGCTTGTCCTCAGCGGAGTGTTTCTTCTGGATCTCGTGCTGCAGGGCCACGTAGATCTTGTCCTGCAGCTTCTGCACCTTCTTGGACTCGGTCAGCCAGGGGCGATCTGTGAGGGACACCAGGGCACAGCTGCCGGGGGGTCTCCTCTGGGATGGTTTTGGGGACAGTGGCACGGCCAGCTGGGCCTCCCTCCATGCCCTCCCCCCGCTGTGGGTGACACAGCTCCTCTCCCCACAGAGGGGTTTTGGCAGACGCATTTTGTGCATTTTTTCCCCCCAACCTCCTTCGCGAGGAACGACTGAGGTCAAACACCAAGGAACCAGTGCCGAGGAAGTCGCGTCAGGGGAGGTTTGGGATGGATCTCAGGGAAAGGTTCTTCCCCCACAGGGTGCTGGGGCACTGCCCAGGCTCCCCAGGGCAGTGGGCACGGCCCCAAGGCTGCCAG